AGGGGCAACCACCAAGGAATGCAGGCAGCCTCCAGATGCTGGAAAAAGCGAGGAAAGAGATTCTCCCCTAGACCCTGCAGGAAGAGCCCAGCTCTGCTGATGCCTTGATTTCAGCCCCATGAGACCCATTTCGGACTTCTGACCTCCAGAGCTGTAGGAGAGTACTTCCGTGTTGTTTTAAGCTACTAAGTTTGTGGCAATCTGTTACAGCAGCAATAGGAAAGTAGTACATCAGGGCTGCCGTGTTCTAATTGTTTTGCTCCTATCTCCACCCCACTCCTCCCACCAACAACCACACCCACCAGGCACTGGGACGGCTGGTACTCAGCATACAGGGAGTGAGGGGGGCGGGCCTCTGGGAACCTCCAATGACCAGTCCCTGCCCCTGCAAAGTTCAGGGCTGGTTCCTCTTCCCCTCCTCCCACGTGCTCTGACCTCAAGAGGGACGCCCCCCACTGGCCCTCTCTCCCCTCCCCAGTAAGGAGAGCAGGAACGGCAACACAATGTCAGCGAAAGAGCAGATCAAAGCTGGATTGTTTCTGAGCCTGGATCACGCTCACTGAATTCTTACAAGGGTCTTCTGGTAAAGCCCTAGAAAAGGCTGAGGATGGATTTTTATGATCATTCCTCAGCTTTACCTCCTCATTCCCGTAGCACACACAGAGAGGTAGCAAACCCCTTCCAGACCTGACCCTTGCCTGCCTTTCCAGTACTTCCCCTGCCTTGCACTGCCCCACCCGGACACTCCTGAAACTCTCAATTACCCTTCAGCCCCCAGACACCTTTGATCGCGGTGATCTCTCTATTGAGAATGTCCTGCCCCTCCTCTCTGCCCATGAAGTGCTTGAATGAGGTCAGATATGTCCTCCTCCAGGGAGCCCTCCCTGACTACTGTCAGAATGGCTTAGAGCTCCTCTGTCCACCCACAGACCCTGTGTCCGCCTCTGTCAGTATTCTCACTGCTACTGGGGTTCCTTTAGCTCTCCTCACTTTCCTCCTCCATGGAGAGGATGGAGCTACCACCCAAGCTCCCTCCTGCTTTACCAGAGGCAGAGGGAACACCTCTGCCCCCACCACCAGTCTATCAGTCAGTATTAGCTCCTCCCCATGGGAGGGGGGAGGTCAGTCTGATTGGTCAGGTCTGGGGCCACAGTTCATTGGCAGGTAGAGCCCGGAGCGAAAGGTGATCACTTTACGATCTCCACCCACGTGTTATTGGGTGATGAGCCCAGCTGGTCATTCTGTCTCTTGAGTCCAGCTCCTCAACCAAGGGACTGACAGAAGTGGATTCTTAGATTCAAGAGGAAGAAAGTTAGACATGACAAGCTTTGCTTCCACCTTCTGACCTCAGCTGCATTCTCTGCTACCACCCTTATGCCCTTGTCCAGGTATCAATACGTAAACTGGCACAGTGTTTCCCATCCTTAAACATACTTCCTCCATCAGAAAACTGGACAGAAGGTAGGACGATGAAATCCTGAACCTCAAACTTCCACACTGACTTATAATCATTTGTGCAGGATGCACCCTATTGTGTAGGTCAGAGGACTTGTTAGCATGACTCCCAGAGACATCTGAGAAAATGGCCCCTGTGCTGGTTCCTAGTCCTGAGTTCAAGAATGCTCTAGAACTGGGCAGTACTCACCTTGAAAGTTTGAGGGTGGTGACTGAGGAGTTAGTTCATTTCTGTCTGAATGGCCTGCAACCATATTTTTACATTACAAAGCTCTGAGATTGGTGAGGTGTACTCGGCTCAGGTGAGGTGGTCTGAGGCACGTGTACAATTGCCCCAGCCATGGATGGGTGCGTAGACGGGTAGACCGACGGCTGGTCAGAGGGTGGGTGGATGGCTGAGTGAATGGATGGATCAATGGGTGAGTGGGTAGATGGTTAGATGGCCTGGTGGATAGATGGATCATTAGACGGATAAATTCGTAAACAGTGTGGCCTGAAGGGAGACATTCGTGGTCCCAGAAGATCTAATGTGACCCTCACTCCTTCCGACGTTTTCCCCTACAACTGTGCACTCCTTGGTTAGACCTTTAGTCTAGGTTAGACCTTTGCCTTTTTAAGAAAATGATGCTAGTCTCACTGCCAAATATCCTGACTGTGCTGGCCCTTTTAGCATTCTGTAGATAACCGAACTCTCTCTGAATGATCCAGTGTCATCTGTCTCACTTCTCTGACAACCTGAACTTACTGCTGACCTCCGGCATACACGGACAGTACACGATACCTCTTATATGCCACCTCAGATCCTCTCTGCCCCACCTGATTCTGGAGCTGAGGCTGGTGCATCTCAGCCACCACCACAGCAACCAGTTCTGCAGGACTCCAGTCAATTTAACGCACACAAACCCAACAGTGCCTCATGTCCACAGAGTAGCTGCTTGCAGCAGAACTCGCTAGGTACTCACACAAGTTCAAATCACAAGTGTGGGGTGGCGGGGGTGGGGCGCGTGTTAATGCCCCTCAAGGCTAGCCTTTGACTATGGGAAACAGGAACCAGTGGATGAATTCTCATCCCTTCCTCCCTCTGCAAAGGGGTCATGAGACACGGGTATTCCTATCATCTCTCAGAAGGGCCCTCTGAGACCAAGTGTTCCGTTGCACATGATACTAAAGGGTCACTAACCCAATGTCATGCCTCCTCACCTGTTCCACTCTTTTCTCTCACTCCTTCCCTGAAGGTACCCCCCAGTAAAGCAATAGCACATAAACTTCTGCTTTCTGGGAGCCCAGGCTAAGACTCCGTTACTGCTTTACTGATTACTATTACTATTTATACAATATAGTTTTGTTTAAATACAAGATATTTGGACCTAAGTAGAGGTTCGAGTGTTTAGCGTCTACCATTTCAGTACCCCCAACACCGAGTCAAATGCTGGAATTCTCTCTCATACCCATTCTTCTCTTACTCTTTTCCATAAAGTTAATCATATTGGGAAAGTTCTCATCTTGGATACTTGAATCTTCTGCTGTATATGGTTTTCAAACCCAGGACCATCTTTTTCAGAGGGGATACTTTTTTAGCTTGTTATCCAGGATTCAGAAGAGCAAAAAGCTGAATCAGTAAAGCCTTCTGTGGCTGGCTGAAAAATGGCTCCCCCAAATATATCCACCGCCCAATCTCTGTTACCTGGGGATGTTTCCTCATTTGCCAAGGCCTTTGCAGGTGTGATGAAGTTACGACTCTCGAGAGGAGATCATCCTGGATTATCTGGGTGGACCCGAAATGCAATCACATGTATCCTTATAAGAGGGAGGCAGAGGCCCACGTCAGGTGCACACAGGAGAAGGCAGTGTGGTCACACTGAGAGAGATTTGAAGGTGCTGGTCTTAAAGATGGGAGTGATGTGGCCACGAGTCACAGAATGCCAGCAGCCACCGGAAGCTGGAACATGCAAGGATCAGATTCTCCCCTAGAGCCTCTGGAGGGAGCAGAGTCCTGCTAACACCTTGATTTCAGCTCAGTGATACCGATTTTGGACATCTGGTCTCCAGAACTGTGAGAGAATAAATTTCTGTTGATCTAAGCTACTCAGTTTGTGTAATTTGTTACAGCAGCTACAGGAAACTAGTGCGGCTTCTTCTTAAAAAGGGCCTTCAGAGAACACTAACTCAGCCCTTCATGAATATTGTCTTTAATGATTTCCCATATGCCTATAGTTAACTCAGTGTTTGCTTTCTTTACATTGTTTCTAATGATGTTTGGAAGTCTGGTATTTAACCCCAAAGGTGCATGAACAGTAATTATAAACTAGATCTCACTGTGAACAGTAAGCATAAACTATCAACAGATCTCACTTTCTAAGAGAGAAGGTTGAGACCTAACTGGCCCCTAATCATGACATTCCCACCCCCAACTTACTTTAAGCCCGTTTCATCCAACAGGTCAACGTTTTTCAAAATGGTGTCCAAGGGTCCCCTGTGTTGAGTCACCTGAGGCGCTCATTAAAAATGTAAAGTCCATGGGGCTTCCCTGGTGGCGCAGTGGTTGAGAGTCTGCCTGCCGATGCAGGGGACACGGGTTCATGCCCCGGTCCGGGAGGATCCCACATGCCGCGGAGCGGCTGGGCCCGTGAGCCATGGCCGCTGAGCCTGCGCGTCCGGAGCCTGTGCTCCGCAACGGGAGAGGCCACAACAGAGAGAGGCCTGCGTACCGCAAAAAAAAAAAAAAAAAAAGTAAAGTCCACGACTCACCCCCAAGCTTCACCTCCAGTACTGAGATGCAGAAATGTGCACTTTTAACAAGCCTCCCAGGTTTCTTAGCACACTGACTTTGAGAAGCTCTATTACAGAAGAAAGAGGTCAGAACTGATCCAACAGTACCTCTCTCCATGGTTCAGGGGTGAAACCACCAACTCTGGGCCAGGGCTGAACTCATGTAGGCACAGCCAGGGCCCTGGCCCCCAGACTGGATGCCTGTGATGAATGCCACACTGAGCTCAGAGAGGAACCAAAACTGTCCTGTCCCCTCATGTGTTCATACAGCAAAACAGCTGCCAAGGTGTCCAGAGCGTGGGGCACCACACGTGCTTTTGAGAACGTTGAGTCACCATTAAGTAATTCATGGTAATTTAACTTTTTAATTAAAAAGACCTTCACTAAACAATAATAGCTTACAAATGCATTACCTTTTGATCTTGCAATTCCACTTTTGGGAGTTTATCCTACAGATATTCGTCATGCTTGTACATATGAACACGATTATTCACTGCAGAACTGATTGTAATAGTAAAAGACTGGAAACAATCCAAATGCCATCATTGTGGAACTGATGAAATAAATTATAGCACATTCATATAATGAAAAAGAAGGAGGAAACGGCACATGTATTGATACGGAAATGTCTCCAAGATAGATTGTTAAGAGGAAGGGCAAGGTACAGAACACATGTATGATAGGCTACCTTTTGTGGATGAAAAGGGAGTAATAAAAATCCACATTCCTATTTGCTTGTACATTCGTAACGAAATGTGGGGAGCGTTATCTAAGAAGAGTGGTTATCTCTGGGGTAGGGGGTAGGAACTGAGCGGATGACAAACAAGGATGGGAGGGAGACTTTTCACTATATATACGATTCTACTTTGGGGTTTGGAACCATGTAAGCATATTATTTATTCAAGGAATAAATAATAAAATAAAATTTAAAATAACCATTTATTGTGGCACTCAGAACGAGCAATCTGGTCTGGACACCTGCAAGTCTTGGGGTCCACATGGAGCCCTTCAGACTGGAGGCGTGTTTCAGGGGCCACCGCCATTGCAGTGGGTCCCCTGGTTAGCCGTGGTGCTCCACACCAGAATGCACATTTCCATCATCCAAAATGACAGGGGGAGGGCAGGTCTTTGAGTTTCTTACCAAGGAGAACCAGCTTCACAAAGGTTCTGGGATTTGGGTCCACTGTACCCTGGACAGCTACACGAGGGGCGGGTCCCAGGCTGCCTAGTACTGACGACTCAGTACTCTAGTACTGAGGCATCATCAGCTGTTCCCGGCTCACGAGGGAGGAGTGGTGATAGCGATCCCGGGTGGCGAAGTCTGCGTTCTCCTGGGTGAGCTGAGTCATCTCCATGTCAACCCTAGCCAGGGACGGCGCCAAAATTATCTGCTCTTGGTGGGATCGCAGGTTCCTTTGGTGAGAGAAACACGAGGACGGTCAGAAGGAAAGACCAAACGTTAACCAGTGGTGGTAAGTCTCCTCTGGGATGGAGAAATGATTTGCAAAAATGTCGTGTTTACTAATAAACATGTATTAAACAACATAACTGTTGAAAGCTATATGTACAATACTTCATGAACCCAAAGTATGAGAAATAAGCATCAAAGAGTGAAATTTACCTTCTTTTAGTAGAAATGTATAAAACTATAAAAATAACCTTCCAAATGCTGTTGTGTTGGGGCTCTGTAGCTTTACTTGGCTTTCTTGTCAAATGAAATAATGGAATGGAGAGGCTGGAAAGCTGAGGTGAGGAGAAAGAGAAACCTGCTCTTTGGTTCACTGGAAAGAAAGTTGAGTGAGGAATGATTTCCAGAGCCGAGGTTTACAGAGCAAAGCAGCTACACGGTCAAGTGCAAGGGCTTTTGGCACCAAGCTTGCCTAAGGCAAAGAGCGAGTCCCAATACGGATGCCATTATCACTGAAGGTCCGCAGAAGAGTTGGAGTTGGAATAAACTGGTAAAGAAACATGTTAGCGATGCGTGAAGAAACTGCTGACAGCAGAAAGGAGTAAGGAAAGACCATCCTGGCAGCCAGGGTATCTATAGAAGACAGAGACAGTCACAGCTCTGCCACGAATCAGGCTGGTGGCCTCAGGCAAACCTCTTCACCTCCTTGTGCCTCTATTTCCTCACCTTCTCAGGCCCCTTCTAGTTCCTTCCGCCTATGCTAGGTCCTGAAATCACACCTTAGGCATAGATTTTTCTCTTAAAACTTTACCCTGAGAGAATCATTGGCTTTATAAGTAGCAGCGCTCAACTGTTTAAATAAGGAATATATTTATTTGATAGTTGTAAAAAACTGGTAGAAACCTTGTTATAAATCTGTGGAACTTAAGCAGAAAGCTTCACTGTCTAGAAAACTGTGCTGTTATAGGAGTTTGGATCACACGACTAAGGCTTTGCAGCTGCTCGAGGAGAACACATCTAAATTAGGTGGGTTGAGGTTTTCTGAGCAATGAATTAACTTCTATAAAGGTGGAATCTTCAAGAAGTAAGGTTAGGAAGTGACAGAAATGCCATACCAGTCAACATGTGTTTTTGCCAGTGAACTTTCTTGTAAATGCTTTTTTTTTTTTTTTTAAGGTAAAACCATCATATTTTTCTGAGTTCAGGGAAATAATACACTTCACTTTCTAGTCTAGAATGGCCTAAGGGTTCTCACCTGGGCAGTTGCTAGGACTTCAGGAAAGAAAGTTTTCTTAAGGTCAGGCTTAATTTCACATAATTCTGGGAACTGTAGGTGTAACAGAGGAAGTAACAGCCAAATTCCTTCGCCCAAAACACCCTACAATATTATTCTTCTTTGGTTTTGAAGAGCATCTGGGGCAACAGGTGTGAAAAATACTCAAAATTACAAAAGAGAAAACACAGCTACCAATTTCTACTTTTAAATGGATCACCATTTCTTAGTCCTTTCACCCTCCTGAACAACCATCACAAAATATCGCTCAGTCACCATGATGAGGCCAGCAAATTTGACACAGACTTAGCTGAGGCCTCCACCAACCACTCCACAAGCTCATAGAGCTATGAATAGTGTGGACTAGGTTCTCTTCCAACCAAAGTACTGCCCTTTTCTAAGAATAATCTCCTCCTAATGCATTCTTCTTTCCACATTGCACAACAGTGATCTCAGAGGTGAAATTCCAGAAATTCAGAGTCCAAAAAAGAGTAGTGACCTCCCATGGTCCTTTGCAGGCTTTCAAAGCCTACAATACCTAAAAACATTCATGCAGAATCAGATAAGGCCAAATACTCTCAACCACACACCAGCTGTAGCTCCAGAGTCTGCAGGCAGCTTTCACACAGAATCTATTTCCACTTAAACTCTACTGGCCCTTAGGCCTAGGAGGCTGGGGAAGATGGAGCAGTGCAGTGATCTCAGATCAGTGCTGTGATCTGAGTCACCCAACCTGGTGCCTCAGCCTGGAAGAGAGGCAGAGAGATGACACACCCACACCACGGCTCCATACAGGACATTTAGCCCAGCTTCCAAGCAAACAGCAGGGAATTACCCCCCTACACACCACTCTCCCTGCCAGCCCTCTCCCTGTTGGTTTCCTGCTCCTTTCATCATCATTTGATGCTGGATCTAGCATCCAGCCTTCATTCCTTGGGCCAACTTGAACAGATTGGCAGTGCTTATAAAAAGTTGTCTTAAGAAGGATTCTTGGGAGGGAGAAATGGGGAGTTATTGTTTAATGGGTATAGAGTTTCCAGTTTGCAAGATGAAGAGTTCTGGAGGTGCTTGGAGGTGACGGCTGCATAACAGTATGAATGTACTTAATACCATTAAACTGTATACTTTAAAAAATTCTATGGTATGTGTATTTTACCACAATAAAAAAAAATGGGGAAAAAAATTCTGAACTTACATCTGGGATCAATGGGAAAGGGTCCCATAATCCCTCAGCAACGTCTGGGCGTGGAAGGTGGAAATATTGGCAAGGGCAACCCAGACTTCTAGAGTTTCAGAAACAAACCAACAAAATGAAACCAAATAAACACTTAGTTGGGTTCTGCCTGGATTTTCCCAGCCTGTAGCTTTGGCCCCTCACTGATACTGAAAGGGGAGGGAGGTAATTTCCAGAGTCTTGAGGCCTTCAAAGGTGAGGACGCATGGGCACTGGAAGGGTAGAGGAGGAAGAGAGAGATTAGGGCACTCATGAAAGCTTACCTTCCCTGTGAGGCTTTCTCCTGTTTCTCAGGAAAGTCTGTTCTTCCCTTTCCCTGAATATTTGAACACGGAGGTCCCACAGAAATCCTGCAGGATCGCTACTCTGTTTCTGTACTTGGCCTCTGCACTTTCACCAATACAGTCATGTCAACTACCTCTGACTTGAGATGGAAGAATGGGAGTTCTCTGGGCCTTAGTCTTGTGTGTGAGTACTAACGCTAGTGTGTCTTAGACTGTGAACTCACTGAGAGTAACTCTCTCGACTTATATCACTCTGCAACCAGATTCTAAAGAAAGCCTCTGTTCATGATTCCTGAGGATAAGAAGACAAGAAGACATGGGCCAAAGGAAGCTTCTGAGAAGCTAAAGCAGGGAGGCTGGGTGGTGGAGGGCCGTGAGGAGCAGTCTGAGTTTCCTTGAGGTTCTCAATCATCAGGTATTCACACCACAATTCACCCAAGCCCAGCAAGAAATGAAACACCCTTAGCACATCCCAGGCCCCTCATCCTGGCCCCAGATTGGCACAGACCTGTAGGAGGGGATCAGAAGAGACCTCATCCATCTGAAAAGGCTGAAGTTGGAGGCTAAACCTGCAGGGAAGACATAGACATAAATATTTATGAAGGTTCTATGTATGCATCTAGAATCCCAGGTTTAATGGGATAAATATACATCCCCTGACACACACACAATAGCACAAAAAAAATTTTTTTCCTTTTTCAGTCTAACCAAACGACATTCATTGTAATACTCCGACAGCAACCTGCTAAGGACTTCATATTTCATGTAGTTTCCAAAAGTTGATTTCTAAACTCCAAAATCCCAAGAAAGAAACTGAATGCATTTATAGAGAAAGAAGCACAGGACTTGCTAACTTCAGTCTTTGGAATTTTTAATTGTTTTAAATTTTGATAATTTTTTTCCTTAGATTCAAACTGATTATGTGTTTAAGTAGACACTATAAAGTCCCCTACTAGACCATACACTCTTTGAGGCCAGGAAGCACATCTTTTTCATCTGGTAACACACACAGCACAACAGCCACAGGATCTGGCCCTTAGGAAGTTTTCTTCAGGTGCTGGGTGAATCAAATAGTGCCTGTGCAATAGCATGTGGAAATGTTAGCGCTGAAGTTTGAAGTGAGATTGTTGTTGACAGTGACCAAATATCCTGGCATCAGACGCACTGTCTACAATATGGTTTATCAACTTTGTTTAAAAAGCTTCTTTTTTAAATCCATTTCTCCTTTGGTGTGAGTTTTTTTAAAATCTCACAAAATGAATTATATATAACTTTAGGAAAGCAAATGAAATGTAATTTTATAAAGTGCTTTTCCAAATTATATATATTCACTCCACCATATTCATATTATATATATATATGTGAGTGTGTGTGTGTGTGTGTGTGTGTGTATATATATATATATATATATATATGGCTGGTTGAAAATTGGTTAATTAGATCATGTTCAATATATGATCAGGAAGTGAGCATTATTTTAAGAGGCTTATGTTAGAATCTTGACTAATGTCAACAGTATGCAGCTGATAACATGTATTTAGAAAATAAACATAAATATTCTATTAACTGGTCCTACCTATTTATGCTCATTTAGATTCTAAATTATCTAAATTTTAGATGAAGATGGGCCTGAAATTTGATTTCATACTTTCCTGTAAATAAATTTCTGGGAAATATTTAAATTTCTTAGGATCAAACTAACTTCTAAGAAATTCAGAAGCAATCACTGATGTAATCACTATGTTAATTAAAATATATTTTCTCCATTAAATTAGCTGATATAAGGACCCTTAGTATGACTTTTTCTAAAGCATTATTTTTAATGTACATGTGATTCAAGTGTTTGAAGTGCATTTCTTTCAAAAATGTATATCAGACTATTCTAATTTGGAAGCATTTTTTTTTCATTTTGCCTGGATTGTTATGGTCCATCTGATTTAGTTAGGACTTAAAACTACATAATTATTTTATTTTAAAAATTGGGACATTGTAGAATTTTGATGAAAAGGGCTCTTGAATGTATTTTTAAAACAGCTTTATTATTGAGGAGTAACTGACACACAGTATTGATAATATTTTCTTCCTTTCCTTATTCTTTTTTTTTTTCCTTTTCTCGTTTTGCGGTACGCGGGCCTCTCACTGTGTGGCCTCTCCCGCCGCAGAGCACAGGCTCCAGACGCGCAGGCTCAGCGGCCATGGCTCACAGGCCCAGCCGCTCCGCGGCATGCAGGATCCTACCGGACCGGGGCACGAACCCGTGTCCTCTGCATCAGCAGGCGGATTCTCAACCACTGCGCCACCAGGGAAGCCCCTTCCTTTCTTTATTCCTGATGCTCTGGCACTTGGGGTCTTGATCCTAGAGGTGCTAATTCCTAGAGATAGGAAACAACTCCCCTATGAGCACACCTTTGATATACAAACCAACCAGTCCAGAGCCCGCGCCCCCAACCATCTCCTTTATCAAGCTCTCACACATCAAGCCAATATTCCCCTGCCTTAAATCACCCCAGGGCCAAAAACCAGACAACTAGAGACCACCCCTATAATCTAGAGTTCCCTGAAATTATTCAAACTACCTAATCCTAAACTTATTCAGCTATCTACCTGCTTTGTCCATTCTTTCCCACTAAAAGCCTAATAAAGGCTATGGGCCATGCTCTCCCCACTTCCTCTTTTGCCTCCTGACCAACCCTGGTCCTCTCCGCTGTGGCCCTGCATGACCCTCCTGTTCCTAGGGATGTGTGAGTATAAACTTCTTTCTTCATGATAATAATTTCTGTGTTTGTGTGTCTTATCATACCTGATTAAAACAAATCCCAGGTACATTTTTAGAACAAACTACATGCATTTAAAGTGTACAATTTGGTAAGTGTTGACACATGCATATACTGTGAAATCATCACTAAAAGCAAGATAATGAACATATCCATCCCCTCCAAAAGCTCCCTCAAGCGACTTCATAAGACCTCCCTCCCTTGTATCCACACTCCCACCCTCATCCAAAGGCAACCGCTGATAGTGCTGTCATTAGAAATTAGTTTGCATTTTAATAATAACATATGTATATATGTAAAATATTACATTACGTACTCATTTTTTCTGGTTTCTTTCACTCAGCACAGTTATTTTGAGATTCACGCTATTGCATATATCGATAGTTCATTCTTATTACGAAATAGTATTCCGTTGCATGGCTATACTATACTTACAGAGTAACCTGTTGATGGACATGTGAACTGTTTTCAGTTTTTGACTATTACAAACTAAGCTGCTATAAATATTCATATACACGTTTTTGTATGCCCGTATGCTTTTAATTCTCTTTGGTAAATACCTAGGAGTACAGTGGCTAACTCATATAGCAGATATATATATTTTGTAATACACTGTCAAATGGTTTCACGAAGTGATCGTATTATTTTTACATTTTCCTCAGCTATATATGATAGCTCTAGCTGCTCCACATCCTTGCCAACATTTGGCATGATCAGTATTTTTAATTTTAATCACCCTGATAGGTGTATAATATTATATTGTGGTTTTAATTTTCATTTCTTAATGACTAATCACACTGAATACCTTTTCCCATGCTTATTTGTCAACCATATATGTTCTTTGCTGAAACCTATTTAAAACTTATGCCCATTTAAAATTTTTTGTTGTTTTCTTGTTACTGAGTTTTGAGGGTTTTTATATATTCTAGGTACAAGTCCTTTTCAAACATGTGATTTGCTAATATTTTCTCATAGTCTATGGCTTGCCTTTGCATTCCTTTACCGGTGTGTTTGGAGGAACAGTCCTTAATTTTGATGAAGTCCAATTTATCAATTTTTTTCCTGCTTTTGGTGTTGTATCTAAGAAATCTTTGTCTCACTCACAGTCACAAATTTTTTCCCTATATTTTCTAGGATCCATTTTGAGCTATTTTTACATTGTATGATGTATGAAGTTTGTTTTTTGCTTGTGTATTTCCAATTGTTCCAGCAGCATTTGCTGAAAAGACTATTTTTTTCCTCCACTGAATTGCCTTTGCAATTTCTGGACTCTCTACTCTGTGCATTGATTTTTTTATCTATCTTGATTCCAATACCATGCTGTCTTGATTACTTTAGCTTTACAGTTAGTTTTGAAATCAGGTAGTGTTAAGTCTTGCAACTTTGTTTTTCTTTTACAAAGTTGCTTGGGCTATTCTAGGTCCTTTAAATTTCCATATAAATACTTTAGGATCTGCTTTCCAATTTCTACAAAAAAGGCAGCTGTGATTTTGATTGGGATTATATCTAATCTATAGAAAATTCTGAGGTGAAATGTCATCTTAAGAATACTGAATTGAATCTTTGATTCATGAATATAGTATAAATCTTCATTTATTTAATTTCTTCTTTAATTTCCTCTCAAAATGTTTTGTAGTTTTCCTCTTCTAGTCTGTAAATATGGTGAATTACATTGATTGATTAAGAATGTTAAACCAGGGCCTAGAGACTCATACAGAATTAAGTAAGTCAGAAAGAGAAAAACAAATATTGTATATTAATGCATATATGTGGAATCTAGAAAAATGGTACAGATGAACCTATTTGCAAAGCAGAAATAGAGACACAGATGTAGAGAACAAATGTATGGACACCAAGGGGGGCAAGGAGAGGTGGGATGAATTGGGAGATTGGGATTGACATATATACACTACTATGTACAAAACAGATAACTACTGAGAACTGATAGATAACTAAAATAGATAACTAATGAGAACCTACTGTATAACGCAGGGAACTCTACTCAATGCTTTGTGGTGACCTAAATGGGAAGGAAATCCAAAAAAGAGGGGATATATGTATACATATAACTGATTCACTTTGCTGTACAGACACAAACTAATACAACACTGTAAAGCAACTATACACCAATAAAAATTTTTAAAAAAAGAGAGGGAGAATGTTAAACTAACCTTGAATTCCTAGGACAACCCATTTGCTTATGATGTATTATTATGCTTTTTATATTATTTTGTATTCAATTTGTTAAAGTCTTGTTAGAAGTTTTATATCTATGTTCATGAGGGATATTGGTGTGCAGTCTTCTGAAGCATTTGTATCAAATTGATATTCTCTCTTCCTTAAGTGTTAGATAGGTTTCATTAGTGACACCATCTGGGCCCAAGGTTTTCTTTATGGGAAGGTTTTTTAATGATAAGTTTAATTTCTTTCATAGATGACCTAAACAGCCCTATATGTCTTCTAGAGTGAGCTTTGATATTTGATAGTTTGTATCTTTTGAGGAATTTGTCCAATTCATCTATCAAATTTATTGCATAAAGCTGTTTAAAACACTTCCTTATTTTCCTTTTTAATGTCTGTAGACTCTCCAGTCATGTCATTTCTCTCACTCCTGGTGTTGAGCATTTGTGTTTCCTCTCCTTTTATTCTGATCAGTCTGGGTAGAGGTTTGTAAATTTTATTGATCTCACATAACCAGCTTTTTGTTTCACTGGCATTCTCTATTTTTCCCTGTTTTATATTTTATTGATTTCTACTTTGATCTTCATGGTTTCCCTGTTTCTTCTTACTTGGGTTTAATTTGCTCTTTTTCTCTAGTTTCTTAAGTGGGAAACTGGGGTTATTATTTTGAGACACTTTTTTCTTTTTTAATATAAGCATTTGACGCAGTAAATTTCCCTCTAAGTAGTGAATTAGCTACGTCCCACAATTTTGATGTTATATTTTCATTCAGTTCAAATACTTTTTAATTTTACTTATTTCTCCTTTGAACCATGAGTTATTTAGTTTCTTTAGTTTACTTAGTGCTCCTTAGTGTTCTTAGTCATTTAGTGTTATTCAGTGTTCTTTAGTGTCTAAATATTTGGGAATCTTCCAGATATCTTTCTGGTATTTATTTCTAATTTACTTCCCCTTTTGTTCTTGAATTGACTTGAATACCCTTAAACTTTCTGAGACTTTAAAAAATGTCCTAGAATATGGTTTATGCTCGTAAATGTTTCACGTGCACTTAAAATATATATTCTGCTGTTGTTAGGTAGAATATTCTATAAATATCAATTTGGCCATGTTTATTGATAACATTATTCAAGTCTTCTAAAGCCCTACTGATTTTTTGCCTACTTGTTTTATCAATTATTGAGAGAGAGGTGTTGAAATCTATGACTGTAATCGAGAATTTTTCTACTTATTATTGCAGATCTATCAGGCTTTGTTTTTTATATTTCAAAGCTCTGTTTTTAAGTGCATAAATGTTAAGATTTATTATGTCCTCTTGATTAATTTTCCCTTTGTCTTTATGAAATGACCCTCTTTATCCCTGGTAATATTCTTTTCTCTGAAATCTACTTTGTCTGATGTTAATATAGTCACTCCAGCTTTGTCTGATTTATCTTACCATGATATATCTTTTTTCCATCCTTTTACTTTTAACTTATTTGTGTCTTTATATTGAAAGTAGGTTTCTTGTAGATAGCATATAGTTGGATCATGCTTTTTTATTCAATCTGACAATCTCAGTGCTTAGACCTTTTAATTGGGAGTGTTTATTTCATTTTATTTTTTAACTATCTTTTTAAAAATTTTTTATAAATTAATTTATTCTTATTTTTGGCTGTGTTGGGTCTTCGTTGCTGCACGTGGGCTTTCTCTAGTTGCCTCGAGTTAGGGCTACTCTTCATTGTGGTGCTTGGGCTTCTCGTTGCGGTGGCTTCTCTTGTCATGGAGCACAGGCTCTAGGTGCATGGGCTTCAGTAGTTGTGGCGTGCAGGCTTCAGTAGTTGTGGCTCATGGGCTCTAGAGCACAGGCTCAGTAGTTGTGGCGCACGGGCTTAGTTGTTCCACGGCATGTGGGATCTTTCCAGACCAGGGCTCAAACCCGTGTCCCCTGCATTGGCAGGTGGATTCTTAACCACTGCGCCACCAAGGAAGTCCCTGATTGGGAGTGTTTAGACTATTTAAAATTAGTGTGGTTATTGATATGGCTAGATTTATATAAACCACCTTGCTATTTGTTTTGGGTCTATTATCTTTTTCTCTTTTTTCTAATTAACATTGATCTGAGTATTTTTAATTCAATTTTATCCCCTTTATTGACTTATTACTTGTAATTCTTTGCTCTGTTAGAGGCATACCTCATTTTACTGCACTTTGTTACTATGCTTCCCAGTATTGCATCTTTTACAAGTTGAAGGTTTGTGGCAACCCTGGATCAAGCAAGTCTATCAGGGCCATTTCCCCAACAGCATTTGCTCACTTTCTGTGTCATATTTTGGTAATTCTTACAATATTTCAAACATTTTCATTATTATTATATTTCTCATGGTGATCTGTGATCAGTCATCTTTAATGTTACTATTATGACTCGATGAAGGCTCAGATGATGGTTAGCCTTTTTTAGCGATAAAGTATTTTAAAATTAAGTTATGTACATTGTTTTTTAAGACATAATGCTATTGCACACTTAACAGACTACCGTATAGTGTAAACATAACTTTTATATGTACTAGGAAACAAAAATATTTGTCTGACTCGCATTATTGCAATATTCCAGTGATCTGGAACTGAACTCACAATATTTCCAAGGTATACTGGTAGTTTAGTAGTTGCTTTAGGGTTTGTAGTACACATTTTTAACTTATCACAGTCTACCTTCAAGTGATATTTTAGTACTTCACGTATACTATAAGAAACTTCCAACAGTATATCCCCATTTCTTCCCTCCTGGCCCTTGTGCTATTGTTGTCATCCATTTTACTTCTACATGTCTTACAAACCTCACGATTTATTATTATTTTTCATTTGTTATCATTTATGCGCATGCCATATTTTTTCTCCTAGACTGTCGGCTCCTTGAAAGCGGGATTTGTATCTGAGTCAGTGCTGGCATTTAGTATGTGTTCGAAACAGGTTTTTTTCAATAAATGCTAAAAGAGAAGAAAGGAGGTGGTGGCAAAATGACTCTGTTGCTTACCAAGGTGAAGCCCGGAACTGGTCCAACCAATGTAGAGATACACAATGGCAGCAACACCCATGTTAACCAGGGTATAGACCCATTGGATCACAAACATGATGAGAAGGGACCCAACAGCCTGTGGAAACAGAAGGAAGTGCAAGTCAGCTAATGGTTTAAACACACAGTAAGCGAGCCACAAGGCTAGGGCCTTAAGAAACAACAGTCCTCTCGTCAACCTCTGAACACTCTATAAGTCTGAATAATTGAAGTTCACTCATAATTCAAAAAACCCCTCTAAAGTAGGTATTTGAGAAGACATCCTCCTGAAAGTACCCTCTAATCAAAACAATCAATAAATAGACATTCTATCCTAGGTCCTTGTTCTACTCCTTTCTAGGAGAAACAAGTTAGAGTAAAATTATGCTAATATGGTGTATCTAGAAATCAGGTGATCCAGAGTTTATCAGGGATGATTAATTATTTAAAAAGTAAACCATTGATTAAAATAAGTGGTTCATTAAATGTAATCTTGCCATATGTAACCTCATCTAAATTCTAATATAACAGGCAGTTAAATCACATTGCTCCTAATGAGACTCTCCTCTTTCCTCCCCCAAGTCCCACCCCAAGATCACACATGTATCCACCTGAATTAAGTCTCAAGGACAGTTGAGATCAAAATGAACTTACTCACCCCCAACAGGGAGACCCAGGGGTTGCATATGCGAGTGTAGAAAGAAGTTGGTCTCCTCTGGATATCTTGTTCCTGGAGCCTGGACTTTAGGAAGAAATCTAAAAAATAAATGAGCCAAAATCCTTGGTTACTAATTTGTTACCAAACCCTCTAGTATTTTTATTAGCAAATACTTATGAGCTCCTCTTCTCCAATTTTGTAACTCAGCCTAAAAGACAACTTCCACTCATCTCAACCATTAATGCCCTTTGCCACAACTGAGGCTTGTCTTTACCAGAAAGCTTACATCTCCTAAATCGTGATTTCAATCAATTTACTCTCAGCCCATCACCTCCATTTTTTCTCATTCGCTCTGCTGTCTCCCACCCCAACTATTCATAGACCACAGAGGGACCTTCAGTCAACTTGCCCTAGTATGTTTTTGCTTCCTGTCACCTACCTCCTCTTTTCACTACCCTCTTACCTGGCTTAGATTCCATGATCCAAGACTCTCAGCAAGTACTCCCTTGGATATGTTATCTGCTTCCATGCTTCAGCACCACTCAGAAGTCTTATACCTAGTCAACTCATTCTCCTTCTCTCTGATGTAACAAATTTCCAACCTCTCCTCTCAAAAGACAGCTTTCATATCCTCTCATCACCAAATCTACCAACCCACTTTCATCTGTACCCTCTCTTCTGCCTTTCTGTTTTCAGAGTAGATGAACAGTTCTGGCTCCTACCTAAGGCCCATCCCTGTATTTGTGCCCTGCTCAAGGATTTTGCTTTTGCTTCATCAATTTTTCCATAGTCTACTAGATCATCCCCATCGAACACAAATACACTGTAATTTCTCCCAACTAAAGAAATATCTTCTGGTCACCCTTCAGCTACTATCCTATTTTTTGGCCTCCCTTATAGCAAAAATTCTCAAAAGAATTGCCTATATGGTTTCTACCTTCCATTGTTTCCTCAACCTACTTTTAGGGTTGTATATACCATTCCACTAAAACGACTCTACCTAAGGTTGGCAATGACTTGAATCTTTTCAAATTCAATGGTCAGCTCATTTTACTTGACCTTTCAGATAGCACCTGACACATGTGATCACTTTCTTCTTATTGAAACACATTCTTCTCTTGGTTCCTAGGATGCCTCAGTTTCCTAGTTTTCCTCCTATCTCACTGCCCACTTCTTCTCAGTCTCCTTTGCTGGATCACCTCCTCCTTCCAACCCCCAAGTATTGGAGAATCCTAGCATTCATTCAGTCCTCAGCACTCTTCTTTATTGCAGTTAGGTGTGGCCATGTGACTAAGTTCTCACCAATGGAATGTGAACACAAGTGGTGAGTGTCACTTCTGCATCAGAGTCTTTGAGAGAGTAGGTGTGCCTCTTCTCTGTGCCCGAAATCAGAACGTGGTAACTCAGTCTTGATTTTGCTCATTATAAGGACTTAGGGGATGGTGAAGTCATAAAAATGGAAGGAGCCTGGGTCCCTGAAGCAATGCATGGAGGAGAGCCTCCCACTGATTTGGAACACCCTTCCTGGACTGTTAGTGCAAGTGAGAAATAAATTTCCATTGTGTTTGAGCCACTGTGTTTTTGTTTATTTGTGATAGCAGTTTAGCCTCCCTTAATTAATATACCTCAAAACAGGCTTCAGGTCCTTCTCTTACTTCTACACAATCTATTCCTTACGAAGCCAGTGATCTTCTTAAGGCTGGATCTGATCATATCACACCTCTAGCTACAATCTTCCATGACCTTCTGTCATAATCACCATGGAGTGCATGGCCCTACACAGGACTGACCTCTGTTTTCCTTGCTATACTCATCTCCGACCTCTCTCCCCCCACCCACTCCTCTCCATTCACTGCTGGACTTCTGCTCTTCTTGGAATTTGCCAATCCAATTTCCATCTGTACCTTTATACATGCCATTTCCCCAGCCTGTAACTCTTCTCCCACATCTCTGCATGGTTCACTGCTTTATACAATTCAGTTCTCTATTAAAATATCCTCTTCTCAAAGAGATATTTTCTGAACAACCTATCTGAAACAGAACCACCCTCCCCACTCTAGTCTCTATCCTGTTACCCCACTTTATTACTCATCATACTATTTATCACTTACTGACATCACAGTATGTGTGTTTGCTTGTTTATTATGTGTCTTTCCTGCTAGAATGCAAGTTCAATGACAGCAGGGACCTTCTATGTCTGTTCAGCATGTTCCCCACCCCCAGCACCTAGAACAGCACTTGGAATGTAGTAAATGTCCCATATGTGAGGCTAAACGAATGACCAATCATCCTAGGTCCCAGAGAAGTCTTCATCCTCTCAACATGTCTGCCTTTACCATATACTTCCAACTATTATACTTATCTTTTATATCTCCATATCTTGAGGGCAAGGGCCGTCTTTTGTATCTCTAAATACCAAATCTAGGCATGTAGGGGTCTGTGTATAGGAAGTGCTCAAGAAGTGTCTCCTTATTAATTGTGGATTAAAATAAACTCTGCCAGAAGACGTAAATAGACATTTCTCCAAAGAAGACACACAGATGGCCAATAAGCACGTGAAAAGATGCTCAGCATTGCTAATTATTAGGAAAATGCAAATCAAAACTACCATGAGGTATCACCTCATATGTCAGAATGGCCATCATTAAAAAGTCTACAAATAACAAATGCTGGAGAGGGTGTAGAGAAAAGGGAACCCTCCTATACTGTTGGTGGGAATGTAGATTGGTGCAGCCATTATGGAAAACAGTATGGAGGTTCCTCAAAAAACTAAAAATAGAGTTGCATATGATCTGGCAATCCCAATCCTGGGCATGTATCTGGACAAAACTATAATTCAAAAAGATACATGTACCCCTATGTTCATTGCGGCACTATTCACAATAGCCAAGACATGGAAACAACCTAAATGTCCAACAACAGATGAATGGATGAAGAAGATGTGGCACACATATACAATGGAATACTTCTCAGCCATAAAAATGAATGAAATAATGCCATGTGCAGCAACATGGATGGGCCTAGAGATTATCATACTAAGTGACGTCAGACAGAGAAAGACAAATACCAAATGATATCACTTATATGTGGAATCTAAAATATGACACAAATGAACTTATCTACAAAACAGAAATAGACTCACAGACATAGACAACAGACATGGTTGTCAAGGGGGAGGGGGGTGAGGGAGGGATGGATTGGGAGTTTGGGATTAGCAGGTGCAAACTATTATATATAGGATGGATAAACAGCAAGGTCCTACTGTATAGCACAGGGAACTATATTCAATATCCTGTGATAAACCGTAATAGAAAAGAATATGAAAAAGAATGGATATATATGTATAACTGAATCACTTTGCTGTACAGTAGAAATTAATACATTATAAAGCAACTATACTTCAATAAAATAAATTTTAAAGAACTTTAAAATAAATTTTAAAGAACTTTAAAATAAATTTTAAAGAACTGATTTGAATTGATGGCTCTAAAAAAGAAAAGACACTGTTAAGATTGTCTTTGATTACATTGTATACTTTCAACATGTGCAATGCATGATTCATTTTTTCAATCACAGGCTTAGTGAAATACAGCTGCTCCATTGATTATTAAGAAGAAACACTATTGGTGAAGAACTTAGATTTCTGCCTCTCTGAGGTTTGCCAAATGTTAAGCTCACTGTTTCACACTTGATCTTGACCTTGCACCAACTCAATTACACTGTACCCAAGGGAGTTGTGTGTATGTGTATGTGTTTTCTGAGGAACTCCAGGGAGAGTCATAGGAAGGGGTGTGTCTTCCAGGCAAGCACAGTGCAGTTTTACACATCAGCAATGCAAGGGAGAATTCAGTCAATGATGCTCAATGACTCTGAATAGGTATGACAGACAATGCAGGCAGACGATTATTCAGAATTCTGAACAGCTATGGTTTCAAAACCCTTCCAAAATGACAGAAGGAATTTTTTTTCTCTTTTCAAGGATTATACTGAAAGAAATAAGTCTTACAGACTAGTGGTGGGAGGAGACCGCTTCTCGTGTTAGAAGTACTAGAATAACAACTGGGAAGGCAACTTTATCAAGCTTTAGTCACAAAACAAACAAACAGGTAAGCAGAACCATGCATTAGGCATGTTAGAAATATCAAATATAGGGCTTCCCTGGTGGCGCAGTGGTTGAGAGTCCGCCTGCTGATGCAGGGGACACGGGTTTGTGCCCCGGTCTGGGAAGATCCCACATGCCGCGGAGTGGCTGGGCCTGTGAGCCATGGCCGCTGAGTCTGCGCGTCCGGAGCCTGTGCTCCGCAATGGGAGAGGCCACAACAGTGAGAGGCCCGCGTAGAGCAACAACAACAACAAAAAATCAAATATAATAAACATAACGCATAACATTAAATTGTCTTTTAAAATCTAGTGGCATGTCTAACAAGTTCTATGTTCACAAAACCCTTGCAGAAATAAAGACTTTTTAAGCATGAAGGGGGAAGACATTATGTCAATTTTTAAAATCACAAATTTAAATAATTTTACAGAAATTACTTAAAAATCGACATTAAACCATCTCTGGAAATGCACTCCATACCTTTATCAGGATAAATAAACACATAGTTCTAGCTGGCATGTACAAACCAAGAATGTGCGTTGATGTGGTTCACAAAGGATCATGTTTCAGGTTCATGTGGGATCTTATCATGTTGATTCTGTAATCTTTTAACCACTTTCCAAATGCTGCACATTTATTTCTAGGTTGTCATTAGCACCAACAATGCAGCTGTGAGACTCTTGTACATATTTACGGTTTGTTGTTTGGTTTAGGGTTGTTTCCTTGAGATACAATCCCCCCAAACAGATTTACTAAGTCAGAGCAATTAGACAGTTTTATATTTCTTGCTGCATCTTGAAAGCTCACTCCCCAGAAAGAATGAACCAGAGGGACTTCCAGCTACCACAATGTAAAGAGGTCAGTGAATCCTCTCCGTAAGAGACAGGTATACAGCTAGACAAAATCATCAAAAACAATCACTTGGGGCTCTAGAAATTTACCAAACGGAGACAACAAACCAAGAAGTGTTTATTTTTTCAAAAACTGCTGGAGCTGAGG